TGGAGGCCGGCTCGCGCCTGGGGCCCGACAGCCTGGCACTGGCCATGGACCGCGCCCTGGTGGCCCGGCGGCCCAGCGTCCCCATGACCCGGGAGGAGTTCCTGGAGAAGGCCGCCGCCCTCTTCATTGCCAAGGTCAAGCCGGTGGGCTGAGCCCTTCCCTCGGCTGCTGCCACCTGCGCCCAGAGCTGGGGCCCTGAAGGTCCGGCTGGCCTGCTCCCGGCTGGAACATAGTCCGGGGCCAGGACTGGGATGTCCCTGCATGCCAGCGGGCTAGGGGGAGCCCCCCCACCAGCTTCCGACCTGAAATGATGTCCCATCCCCCTTCAGGCGGAGGCCAAAGCTCCCTCTCCGGACTCCCACCAAGGCCCCTCTCATCCACAGAAATAAAGTCTGTTACCGAGGCTGACCTGGTGTGTGTGCGCGCTGCCCCAGCCCCAGCCTTGTCTCACCGCCGCCCGGAAACCCCACGGCATCCCAGGCTTTATGGGAGCCGAGGGCACTGGGCACCCAGCAGCCCAGAGACCCAGGAGGCACAGCCAGCCCCTCACGAGCGCCAAGCAGTTCCTCCCCAGCCTCTGTCCCAGAAGTCAGCTGGGCTGACAGTCACGCCCGCGATGGTGGAAACTACCGACACACCCTAGCCCTGCTGTGTCTGGGTTCACGCTGCCCTAGGGTGAAGGCAAACCACTGCCCACAGGTGGGGAGACCCAGGCCCAGAGGAGGGACAGTCCCAGCACCAGCAAGGGTGCCACCCAACGCAGGCCCGCACTCGGCACCCCAGACCCCACGCTGCCTCCGCCTCCACCGCTGCCGTCCGGTCCGTCAGGGGTCCGGGCGCACCTGCGAGGTTCACCAAGCACCCCACAGAGTGGCTTCCTAGAGGCAGGATGCCGAGGGAGCAGAGTCCCAGCCCAGAACAATTCCTGCTGGGTGACTTCACTCTCTTGGCTTAAGCTTCCTCCTCAGTTAAATAGGACTCAGGACAGCCCCTATTTTGATTGAGGGCGATCACGTGGGGACAGAATCTAAAGCCCTTCACAAGCTACTGAGGGCGGGACCACCTTGCCTCCCAGGTCCCAGCACCTGCCCTTGGCCTCTGGCAGGTAATCAGAGAGCCCACGGACTGCAGCTGTGTTCTCCAGTTACAGCTTTCTTTGTGTTCCCACCTGCTCTTCCAGACTCTCCCACCCCCTGCAAGGGGCTGATGAGAGGCGGGATCCGTGTCCCCCTCCTTGAACTTGATGACTTTTGTGACAGACAGTACACAGCTTCCGCCCCGCGGGTGCTTCCAGGACATGACACCCACGTTGTGAGGACGCGCAGGCCACGTGGAGGTGTTCCGACTAGCAGCTCCTGCTTTGCAGGTCTGTGAGCTGAATAAATGGTTGTTACTGTTTTAAGCCATGAAGTTTTGGGGTCATTTGTTACATAACCACAAACAGCGTACCGCTCAGCAAGCATGGCGCTCCGGAAATGCGCCTGAAGCCTCAGCCACCCAGGCTGAGCATTTAGGGGCTAGACAGCCTCAGGGAACCAGAGGTGGCAAGGCCCCCGCCAAGAGCTTGCGGCCAGGCGCAGCACCTGCTTTAAGTGCAGGCCAGGAGCAGGCCACGTTGTACGGTGGACTCGCAGGCCCCAGCAGCTGCTGGTCAGTCTGTGGTCCCACTGGGGACCACTGGGGAACCTCTCCCTCTTGGCCATCGGAAACTGGGCTGCTTAGAGTGAAGCAGGTGTCACTGGTACCACCAGACCTCCTTCCCAGCTGCCGTGGCTCACAGCTGTCCCTCCACAGAGATGGACTCTAGCCCAGGAGGCACCACCCCCATCTCGGGCAGGAGTGGCCAATGAGTGACCAACAGCCCCAAAGCTGGTCCTCTTGCCTCAGGTGGACCTGACTCTGGGGGCAGCTCACCCTCCAGGGCCCCCAGGTCAGGCTGAGGCCGACTCCAGCCGGGGTCACCCCCTGCCCTGTCCAGTTTCCCTCACTGCCTCCCCTGAGTCACCATCACACCTCGTCTTGGGTCCAGAAGTCCTGCTATGACCTTTGCCTGGGGAAGCTGAGCTGTCCTGCTTACCTGACCTCACAGCAGGGTGGACCCTCAGTCTCCCTGTCATCCACACCCCCGCCATTGGGGTGGTCTCTCCATAGCCCCCTGGAAGGCTGCCCCTCTTCCCCTGCTTCCCTGTGGAAGGCGCCCTCCTGCTCTCCTGGGGCCTCTCCTCTCCTCTCCTCATTTGGCATCTCCTGGGCCCACGGCTTCAATTACTGCCTGGTCACCAAGGAGTCTCAAATTCACGTTTCTGGCTCCACCCTGCCCTACTGCAGCCCTGGAGAGCCAACCACCTGCTGGGTGTCTCTTCAAGGACATCCCAGGTCTGCCATGTCCAGCATGGAGCCTCTGGTCGGCCTCCCTGATCCTGGGACTCCTCTGGAGCATGTGGTCTCTGAGGAAGCCCCGGTCCTCCCAGGACAGGGGCTGGGCCTGGGTGCCTCCCCTGCCCCCTTAGCTGGCCCTTCTCTGCATCCTGTTGGTTGCACATAGCTTCATTCTGCCTGATCCTCCCCACATTGGTCCAGCCCACAACCTCACCCACCTGGGCAACCCCACCAGCCCCACCAGCCAGTAGGAGTGCTCCAGGCACCTTCACCTCAGTGATTGGCTCAGGAACAGCATGTGACTCCAGCTGGCCAATGAGATGCAGCCCTGGGACTTTTTCTGGGGTGGCTGAGCTCGGAGGACCTGGGCCTAGATTCTGGAGCCACCTGCTCACCACATGGCCTATAAACTAAGTGAGTTCTCAGGAAAGATGAGCCAAGACACTCCCCAGCTTCTTTTCTTGCCTCTGTTCCTCACTCAGCCCCAGGCACACTGGTCACTAGCTGGCCCAGAGTGTCCCTACCTCAGGCCTTGACACGTGCTGGTCCTTCTCCCTCTAACACTGTTCCTCCTGATTCACTCCATTCTGGTCTCTGCCCAAATATCACCTCCTCAGCGATGCCTCCCTGGCCTCCTAATCAAAATAACCCTCCTGCCCCGCCCCTGTTGCTACTGCTTCACGGTGCTTCATTTTCCTCCGCAGCAATTACTGCTACCGGAAGTTGCTTATTTATTTATAGCTTGCTTAAGTCCCTTCTACCTGCCTCTCCGAGGGCAGGAGTTTTTACTTATTTTATTCATTACTGTACCTCTGGCACCTAGATTTGTCCGTGGAAGGCCATGAACCAATTAATCAATTTTCCAGAGGAAGAACCTGACGCTCACAGAGGTGAGGGTACTCACTTCCTGCGGCTGTTGTAACAAATCACCACAAAGTCAGTGACTTAAAACAATGCAAGTTTGTGACCTTACAATTCCAGAGGTCAGAAGTCCTAAAATCCAGACGTGAGAAGGGCTAGTCCCTCTGGAGGCTCCAGAGGAGATTCGGGTCCTGCCTTTTCTAGCTTCTAGAGGCACTGCATCTCTGGCTCACGGCCCCTCCCTCCACCCTCACCACCAGCAGAGCAGCATCTCCCGTCTCTCTCTGACTCTGACCCTCCCACCGCTGCGGGATTGCTCTGGGCCCACCTGGATAACCAGGACATCCCCTTCTCAAGGTTCCTTCTCTCAGGCGAGGTGGCACGTTCCCAGGCTCTGGGGTCAGGATGTGGACGTCTGCTGGGCATTATTCTCTGCCACGGTGGGTAACTGTGTCCCAGATTGCATAGTCTGAAAGAGGCAGAGCTGACCCTGAAGCCTGTTCTGTCATGTCCAGAGTACACCCACATGTAGCCTTTGTCCCCGGCCCCATGGCCCTCTCCCCCATCAGGGGCCACATTCTCTCCCAGGCATCCCCTTTCCTTCACCCCTACAGCCCCTCTGTCTCCTGAGATGATGCCTGTCCCAACAGGCACAACTGCGGCAAGATGCTATTGTGCAAGTCTCCATAACATGTTCCAGCTCTATGCTAAGAGCTTTTCAAGTATTCCCTCACGTCACCCATTTTACAAATGAACAGGTCCGTTTGAGGACCACTTCCAAAGTCCTAGCAGAACCTAGATCTGAATTCAGGGCTCTTCTGTGACATGTGATGGAAGACTCAACTCAAACTGCCTTATAAGAAAAGAAGTAATTCATTAACTTGCACCATTGCAAGGGGAATCAGGCATGGCTGGATCCAGGAGTGCAAATAGGGTCATCAGCACTTTCTCACCAGTCAGCTTGGCTTTCCAGAGCCAACTTTGTTCACAGGCCTCATGGTGGTGATAAGGTGGTCCAACAGCTCCAGGCCCAGTTGAGGCACCCCAGCACTGTGTCCCCAGAAAAAGTCCCAGGCTGCAACTCATTGGATGGCTGAATCACATGCTGTTTCTGAACTAAGCACTGCAGCCAGGGGACTTGAAGCTCTCTAACTGGATGACCCAATTCCAACCTCAAAGACTAAGAGTGGAAGTCCCCAGGGAAAAATTGAGGTGCTATGTCCAGAGAACAGGCAAAACCCCAGATGTCCATCCCTCCAGGGTGTTTCATAGCCTGAGGTGCAGGCTTTCCTGGGGTGGGGGGGAGGCCCCACATGGGACCAGCTAGAGGGCCAGAAACCTGGTACCTTCCTTTACATTTCCAGGACCGCCGCCACCCACCCAATAATTCCTGCAATGTGGGGTGTATGCAGGGAGATATCTTGGGACACTTCTGGAAGAATCATAATCAGTTCTAATTACTGTTCATCAGCGTGGCGCTGCTTGTCAACGCTATCACACTGGTGATACGGGCAGTGTGAAGGACAGACTGGGCAAAGTGTGCTCAGCCCATTTCATACATGCAGGGCCCCACCAGGTCCCCCAGGGTGAGGGCAGAGCCCCTTGCACTGATGAGTAAGTCGTGTGAAGCTGCTGCTCCGCCGAGGGCTCTCTCCTGGACTCCTCCTATTTCCCCACCTCCCCACCTGTCCTTTCCTTCCCTAGACCCGTTTACCTGCCTGTCCTTCACTGGTACCAGCGAGGGCCAGGTATTGGGGCGCGCGGGGCAGAGAATCAGCTGAGCCTAGCCCGTGGTGTTGGTACAGCTGTTGGCTGTCTGGGACAACTGCCAGCAAGGCCACCACAGGCCACGGTTGCCACGCCCACCCTCGTGGGGAGATGTCACCTGCGGAGGCGCAGGGATGGAAGCCAGCGCATCACATCCAACTCTCCCGACCCAGAGGTGTGTAGGAGCCCGGGCCCGGGGCGCAGCCAGGTCAGAGCTCAGGAGGGGTCCGGGTGAAGCCCAGGGTCAGGGCTCGATGGGGTCAAAGGTCAGCCTGAGATAGGGTATGGCGAGGGCCAGGGCTCTCGTGCTTCGGCCAGGACCTGAGGAGTCGGTGCTGCAGGAGTGCTGAGTGGGCAAAGGGCCGATTTCTCCCCGCTTCTCCGGGAGCGGTGGGACCCTCCCCCTTCCCCCTCTCGGCCGGCCCAGGGCGGCCAGGGCCGGGGTCGCGAGTGGGGAAACTGATGCTCAGGCCGGCCCCCGCCCCGGCCCCGCCACAAGCCGGGACGTCACAAAAAGGCCCCAAAAGCGCGGCAGGCCGGGTGGGGTGGCGCAGCGCAGCCCTGGGCGCAGCCCCACGCACAGGCGTCCGGGGAGCTCTTCCGAGCTGGGGCGGCGGCGGCCTCCCAGGGGGTCGGCAGCGCCAAGGCGCCCGCGCGCACGGACCCCGGCTCTCGGCCGCGCGCTCGGAGGCCGGGGGAGGGATAGTTTCCCGGCGTGCCCCGCGGGCGGGCGGCGCGCAGGCGCAGTCGG